TGAGTTTAGTCTGAGTTATTTGCTTATTTGATTATGATCATGTTAAACCCTTTATGTTTGTTCACTTAAGTCCAAAGCAAGTCCTCATTTGTTCAAGATGTAGGCCCAAATTCTGCTCGGGTCCACGGTGTCTTCAGTCTGAATTTCGGCAGCCTCCCGACGTATCCCCCGTTTAGGGGAAAAATCTGAAAGACTAGCCTTCCCCTAGTCGCTACTTGAGCGCTTCGGGTATGTGTCTAATGACACTGCAGCCTCGTTTTCTTTAATCCCCTCCCGCTACGTGAGCGTTTAAGGGCCTTGGGTACCTGTTGAAAAGAAAGCACAAGTATTTCCCCACGCGTGGGTACTTAATTTCGTCCCCCTCATGCTACATGAGCGGTTCGGGGATTACCCACCTCGCCACTAGCGTCATGCCAGTTTCCCTCCCTACAACGCTACGTGAGCGCGCAGGGGGTTTGCTGACTCGTCGCAAGCATTGAGGATAGGATTTTAGGCAACTGTCCGCCTCATCGTAGGCGTCGTACTGGTTTCCCTCCCTACTACGCTATGTAGCGCGTAGGGGTTTTCCAGTTCGTCGCTAACATCGAGAGCGGAAATCAAAGTTTAGAAATTATACCTTGGGGACCAGCGAACCGTCAGTGGAGGCTCATTGGTCGAGGCAGGAGAAGCAAGCATTGCCCTTTTTTGTTATTATTATTAATTACAATTAAATATAATTCATTATTATTAATAATAATCGATTATATTTAAAGACAATTAATAATAATAATAATAATACATGATTTATACAGAATTTAACAAGATTTAAACAGGATTTATGCTAAATCCTTCAAAATGAAATTTTATCACACTCTGAATCTCAAAGCATAATCAATCCTTTGTTTCCTTCACTTGGCATAAATCCCTTAAGTTCGGCAATTTATTGGGTTCGGCCAAAGAAGCGCACGGAAGGCAGAGAGTTACCTTCACTACTGGCAAGCTCCTGTTGTTGCTTCCGATAGAAAATGTCGTGACTTCCGATTTAACAGGAAGGGAAGTCGGCGGAAGAGCGAAGTCGAACGGCGACTAAGGTGCCAGAGAAATAATGCGAAAAGGGAGAAAGTTACTTCACAGCGAGCGTGCTCCCGTGCTTGCTTCCGATCAAAATAACGTAACTTCCGATCTGTTAGGAAGGGAATGCCGTCGGAAGAGCAGAGTCGAGCAACCACGAAGAAGCCGAGGAAGAGGCGTACGCAAGGAAGAAAGTTATCTTCACGGCTTGCAGCTCACGTTGTTGTTCCAGACCGAAACGTCGTGACTTTCTGTCAGCTGGAAGGGAAAGTCGTCGAACCAGCGAAGTCGTTCAACCACGAAGGAGCCGAAGCTTCACAACGAGCGAGCTCCGTTCTTGTCTCCGATCAAATGTCGGAACTCCCGTTCCAACAGGAAGGGCAAGTCGTCGAGTGTAGCCGAACAGTAGGGAGGAGTCGGAGAAGAGATGAGAGCGGGAGCGAGAGAGAGCAAGATCGGGAAAAGAGGCCGAAGGCCTCCTCGTGGGGATTTAACGATGCGAGGTGAGTCGTGTGGAGTCATGGCGGATGCGACGTCGATCGTGCGCGGGATGGCCACGACGTGCGAGCAAGTGATTTGATTTTTTTTTTATCTATGGCATTACGAGTCAACAATCTCGTTACCTTTTTTTAATTGCATTGATAGGCGCCCTTAATTGAGCAATTGTAAATTACGGAAGGATTTCTCTTAAGTAGTCATTTCAAAATTCTGCAATACACATAATTTTGATAATTTTTTAACCAATGTTAAGCTTCATATACTACCTTCTAGAGTTGTCTCTCAGTGGATGCATGGTGACCTAGATTAATGATTCAAATGATGATGATCGCCAAACAATGTTTTTCAACCATGTTTTTCAATATTTCTTTCCTACTTAATTATGGATTAGCAATTCATAATACTAGGGAGGGAATGAAAATCAGAAGATAGGAGAAGACTAAAAGAAAATATTAAGAAGGTGCTTCTCTGAATGAATAGCCAAACTATTATAACTTGCATCATGAACAATAAATATTAGCCATTGTCTCCAAAAATAGATAATTAGATGTAATTTCTTTCCATGAAAAAAACTATAAGACTAAGATATCACGAGGCATTAATTCCATGCTTGCAAGCATACATGTGTAGCACAAATTTGATATTTGTACTGATAAAAAATATTACTTTGGCCACCTTTGATGGTCTGATAAACGGACCAGCAGATACAAATATAGGTTGAAACAACTTCAGATCAAACAAAAATATTCACCAACTTTGGCTTCTTTTGGGACATCTTTTAACCACTGCTTTTTCACTACTTCAAAAAAAAAAATTGTGCTAGAAAACTGCATAAAAAAAAACTATCACATACGAAGCCTTTATTTAGATATCAAGGATGGACAAATGGGGATCAGTTATTTATTCCCTTTTCTCCAAGGCCATGAGCTTAAAAGAGCTTGGCCATGAGCTCATTAGTGGGCAAAGCTAAAGCAATTCATATTAGATAAGCCCCCTATGATACTATTGCTAGCCATTCTTTCTATTTTCTTATAAAAGGCTCCAAGGTTTGAAATTATGCAATCGAGTACTAAGGTGTTTTTTTATGTGAGGCAACACCTAAGTCTTAGGATTTTTTGAGGTGTAAGTTTTACAATTAAATCACTAAATTAATGAAAATATAAACTACTAACAAACTATTATCAAGGTAAAATAACAAAATTAGATTATAAGAAGTTACAAAAACAACATCAAGCCTTTATCTCACTACGTGGGGTCAAACTACAAGAATTATTTTTTCTCCATTGTGTCTTGTTAATATCCCCATCTATTTCACCATCGCGCAGAACAATAAACCTAGGATATCTAAAATGTGAACTCTTATTAATTATTTGATCGTTCAAAGTCACAATCTTTCCACTAAGTCTATTACTACTAAAATTATACTCCATGTATTAGGTTTTATATCTACTCAAATGAAAATCTTTGGACTTAAAGGTTGACCTCCATAATTCAAGTTTACCTTCAACTCCCTCTCTAATCCTATCAACAAAAAGAATATCATCAGCAAAAAGCATACACCAATGTACATCCTCTTGCAAATGTCTAGTAAGAAAATCCATGACTAAAGCAAAAAGATATGGACTTAAGATTGATCCTTGATGTAATCCAACTGAAATAGCAAAATACTTGATCAAACCACCTTGTGTTTAAATACAAACAACAACTCTTGCATAGATATCCTTAATGACTTGAGTATAAGCATTATTAACCCATTTCTTTTCTAGAACTCTTCAGAGCACTTCTCTTGGAACTTTATCATAAACTTTCTCTAAATAAATAAATATCATATGTAGATACTCCTTATTCTCCCTATACAACTTCTCTATCAAACCTATCAATAAATGTATAGCTTCCATAATAGACCTACCCGACATGAATCTAAATTGATTTTCAGAAACATTAGCATCACGACATAACCTATGCTCAATAATTCTCTCTCATAGTTTTAAAGTATGACACATTATCTTAATTCCTCTATAATTCGTACTCTCTCATGATCACCTTTATTCTTTAAAATAGAATCAACACACTCCCCACTTATCTGACATATTTTTAGTCTTCAAAATAATATTAAAAATTTTCATAAGCATAAAAAATTATTTATCTCCTAAGACTTTTCACACCTCTATTAAAATATCATCAAGTATAACAACTTATCCACACTTCATTTTCATTAAATCCTTTCTAACTTTGGTTTTACTAATACGCCGATAAAAGTAAAAATCTCTATTATCATTTAGGATGCTAAGGCCATTAAAATCAATCGTATTCTCACAATCTTCATTGAAAAGTTTATCAAAATATCTCATTCACCTTTGTTAAATAGCCTTTTATAATAAAAGCACTTTTTGATCTTCATCCTTAATACACTTCACTTGAACTAAATCCTTTTACTTTTCCTATCTCTTTGTTTCGCTAACTTATATATATATTTTTCGCCCTCCTTAGTATCTAATCTATTATAAAAATCATTAAAAGCTAAATTTTTTTTACATCGCATATTATTTTGGGCCACTTTATAACTAAAGTAAGATAATTAAAATTTATAAAAAGCTATACGCATCGCTAAATAAAAAGTCTATCCCACTCCAAATTCTATATAAATAAGTAGTCTTAGATCCTAATTTATGAATTCAAAAGTCTCCCTCATACTCATCACTTTCAAAAAAAATCATTATCATAATCACCATTGTAGTTAATTGATTTATCTCCTCCCACATCCACAATTTTGTCAAAATCCTCCAATTACAGTGGCGGCGACATAACAACAGACGCAACGAAATAGGATAAGTTCCTGGCATGAGGGTCTTGCGGCATGCAACTGCAAGTTTGAGACCATACGGTTATTCTCAAGTTTGGTTTGCTTTAAGTAAAATGAATAGCTTTAATTACACATGTACATATACATACATATATGCATGCATGCATACATATATAATGTATTTTAAATTAAAAATTTATCTAATGCCTAATTTTTGAAGCTTACTACTATTCAAAATTGTGCAAAGGTGAGCATGCCCTAACCCCCCCATTAAGGCGTAAGCAACACGGGCTAGTGTGACACATACATCTCATTACTTTTTTTTTTAATTGCATTGAGAGGCACCTCTAACTGAGCAATTGAAAACTATGGAAGGATTCCTCATAAGTAGTCATTCTAAAATTCTGCAATGAATATAATAATTTTGCAACCAATGTTAAGCTTCACATACTACCTTTTAGAGTTGTCTCTCAGTGGATGCATGGTGGCCTAGATTAATGATTCAAATTATGATGATTGCCAAACAATGTTTTCAATCATGTTTTTCAATATTTCTTTCCTGCTTAATTATGGATTAAACTAATTAATAGCCATCTAGCAAGGGAACACAATGACAGAAAAGAATATTTGAAAAGTGAATTTGACTTACAGTACAGCCAAGAGGCCTTGGGCATTCTTCAAAGAACATCAGAGTCTTCACCACCTTCTTCCCCTCTTGACCAGCACTACCATGTTCCTCAAAGAACTTCTCTACATGAAATAGATCACAACGCCCCAGCCTTGGAGACGATACATGGTCAATAGAAGGGACTATTTGAGCACCAGTGCAACGGGATATACGCTCTAGAAGTGGCCTTTTGATATTTAAAACCAGTGAAATATCCTTTGCAAGAAGAAAATCTTGCGCGAAACGTGACACTGACTTCTCTACCAAAAGTAAATGTGGGTTGTTAGAATCAATTCTTGCAATTGCCATCTTCAAGTGATCCATTTCCTGCAAGCATCATTTCATGATAATAAATAAGTGCTGCTTGCATTTTTTATGGAAATAAGCAGAAAACGTCAACAAACCTGCTGAAGTAAAGTGTCAAAACTTGATAAATAATTCATTACTCGCTGGTATTCAAGAGCTCCTCCAAGAATTAGAATATTTGGTTTCTCAATATTTGACTTCATATGGCGGTGTGCTACATTCTTCTTACAAACAACTCCTCTTACCACTACACTGAACAGAAAACAGGCCACTAACTTCAAGAGCAATCTCATGATACGCATCAACAGAAAAAGCGCTATCACATTCAGGTTAAAGTGGATCCAACCAGTAAACTTTTAAACAAGCCACAATTCATTAAGACATGCAGTTTAGTATCCGCGTCACTTCATTTGAAATTGTATAAATGTTGATAAGTACACAAAACAATTAAGCTTGGCAGAACACAAATCAATGAATGAAGCAAAAGAATCAGGCAACAAACAAATATTCTTAAAAAGAACTAGACCAAGAATTACCTCTGACTGCGATGTCCGCAAGCAATGCACTTGACTTTAACATACCCAGAAGGGTCCATTCCTCCTCCGTTGCTGGTGTCTGGCTTGAGAAGTGTTGCTGCTTCCCATGACAACGATGTGATAATCTCCAACCAGCTCTCCTTATCACCCTCATCACCAATCGGAAGATTTTCAACCTGTAGAAGTTGGGCAATTAATGCTCTAAAATGTCCGCCAACAACATTTTTCATTGCTCCCCTGTGTTCATCAGTTGATCCACTGCCAAAGCTCTTTGACATGCGAAGGGATCCCCATTCTCCAGTGGCATCATGATCCTCACCATTAGATATCGCCTCACTCTCATCTTCCTCAACTTCAGGTTCAGTAGGGAGCCAAAGCAGTTCATTGTTCTCAAAATCTACAGGTTCATCAGCACCTTCCATTGCATAAATGGATGAAGAAACACCGTACGCATCCCTATGCTCAGGTCCTGCTTCTGCCATTTCATCAGAATAAGTAAAATCTAGCAAATTTGTGCAATCAGCCACCGGAGAGCTCGCATCTTCAGATGGTATATTTTCTTCAGCAAGTAGCACATTATTTGTGTCATAGTCCTGATCAGTTTCATCAAAATCAACACTGCCATAGTAGTCATCAGAATGCTGGAAACGATGTGCTGCAGAGTCAGAATAGCATAGACCATATGCATCATCATCATCATCCTCGCTTCTGCACTTGACACTATAGTAAGAATTATTGAAAACATAAATAAACAAAAGTATGAAGGTCAGATCATTTGAACATAAGTATTTTCATTTCCCAAAAAAAAGACATTATTAAGAAAAGCATATCAAAGCTGAACAAGAATGTTTTTAAGTTTATGTTGATTCCTAAAACATAATAATAATAATAATAAATAAATAAATAAATAAGTTTATGTTGATTCCTGAAAGTGGGTTAGAAATGTAAATTACGAAGGAAGAAGATTGGTGGAGTTGATAACATAGATCACCAACTACAATATTTAAACACAAGTTTCTATGATGAAAGAGATGGATGAGGAATATTCAAAAAGCTTTAAAAAACATATTTAAAATTATGAAAATAAGTTCCTCACAGTTGCAACTAGCGCGTCATTTTTTACAAAACCAGATGTAGATACCAAAGCTTTCTAAAATATAAATCTAAACCCTTTTGCAAAAGTTGATATCACCGGCTAGGTGAAATTGAAAAAATCAAAATGCCCTCAACTTGCAGAGCTATTCATATGTACACAACTACGGATCTCGCCTTTAACAAGATAATAGATCAAAATACTCTCAATTGAATCTCAGCATATGACATTTAGATCCTTCAACAAGATAATAGATCAAAATACTCTCGATTGGATCTCAGCATATGACATGTAATTTTAGCAACTATGATATTAAAATTTATCGATCAATATTGTTAGAAGATAAAGTGAAACAAACGTGTTTGATTTAAGTACCTTGAATTTATTATATAAAGCAATAGTGATAGATGAGCATATAATTTCTAAGAGGTGGTTAAAATGAAAAAGTTTCTCATAAATACTATGTGATAAGAGGATAGCACAAAGCCGACCGAAAGGCAATTTTTGAAAAACCATAATTAGGTCAACAATGTTGTAGGGAGTTGAGTGTTAGACAGTAAAATATTGTTGATAGCTAAGTTGAGCATAGAAGAAACAGAATGTTAAAATAAATGTGCAGCAAAGTTAAAAGAATAATTATATCATAGGAATTGTTGGAGTAACAGCTTTTGAAAATAAAGTAATTGAAAATATACTTAGCGGTTTGGACGTGTACAAGTAAAGATAGAAAATGTGCCCATTGAGTAGATAAATTTAGTGTTGGAGGATTACGAAATAGAAGTAGAACTAAAATAGCATGGATAAAAATTGTTCAAAATGGTTTGCAAAAAATAAATATAACATATTAGGAAGCACTTAGTAGGAATGAATGGAAAAAAAAAAAAGATTCATAAAATGGACCCTAAATAATTGGGATAAGGCAAAATGAAGATGGTGATGAATGAAGCCCAATAGATTCAACAGGCCACATATTTCAGCATATTGTCATGTATTGAGGCTAAAAAAATTAAATTGGAAAAAGGAAAAAATTCATCTCAAAATTTCCATTCACAAAAAAATAATAATAAAAGACAAAAATAAAAGAATTTTTTGAAGTATCAATGATGTAGAACGGGAAATGCTTTGGTAATGGTCTTGAAGAGCCAACCGTCCCAACAATCTGAAAAGGAATTCCTTACTGGCAATCTAAAATATTTCAGATTTTTCTCACAAAATCTGATAGGAATTCCAGCATTTCCCCACAAGATCTGGGACAGCGATTCCGGACAGTTCCGGGCAGCAACGGTCACTCCCAGAGAGGCTGGACAGCAGATGGGTGGTCTTGAGAAGACCCTGGACAGCAAGTTGGCACTTGGAAAATTTCCCGGACAGCAACCTAAAAAGGTTTAGAAAAGCTGTGGAAAACTACTGTGAAACAGGGGATTTCTGGAGATGAAGTTGGGAGAGTCACGGGTGGATCTTCCCTACCAAAATCTGAAATTGTACTTCAGATTTTGAATAAAAATCTGAGAGAATTCAATGGATAAATTCCGGTGGAGACCAGAGAAATTCCTAGGGAGATATGGAATTATTTCCTGTAATAGCATAGGATGGGTTTTAGGAAACAAATATTGATTTAAGCCAAGGGGGATGGAGGGGCTGGCGGGATTGAGGTTGGGGAGGGAATTAAGCACGGGATTAATTTAAAGAAATCTGGTCAGCATGCAAGAGGTTTAAATTTCCCAAAATCAGTGAGAAAACTGCTGGACAGCAGTTTAATAGCCACGGGATTGAGAGGGCGTGAGTCTTATTTCCTAAATCCAATCTTTCGTATTAGGAAATATCTTAGAGCCAAAGTAGGAATGAGAAAGAAATAAGTATGGGGAGGTTAATTGAAATCTGAAATTAGATGCAGATTTCAATTAATGTGATTTAGGAAACGGAGGGGATTTCTCCCGTTAATGAGATGAGCTGTTAATGAGAAGAAATTAACAGGGAGATGAGGTGGAGTTTAAGGAATTCGGCCAATCAAGAGGATATTATGGCAATTTCAGTTTTAATTAAATTAGGAGTGAATTGATTTGAATTTTAAAATTCGAATCAAAGAAATTAATGCCATGAATGGGGGAGTAAAGGAGGGAGCCGGCGGGTCTAGGGAGAGATTAATTCAAATCCTGAAATTAACTTCAGAATTTGAATGAAAATGGGGGGGAAATTAATTTGAAGATTGATTTCAAATTAAGATGCCATTAAATGCCTTAATTGGGGAATTGATGGGAGGGACACCAATTAGGAAAGATTTCAAATTTGAAATTTGAAATCCCAAATTGTCATGAATTTTCCCTCTTGATTTTGCCAACCCAAATTGGAAAGAGGCATGGCCAAGGGAGATTGAGGGGGTGAGGTGGCCGGTGGGTTGTGAAAAGGTGGCCGGCGGGATGGTGAAGAGGTGGCCGGTGGCTTGGGTGGAGGATGGGGATGTCGACAAGGAGAAAATGAAAAGATAACGAAAAGAATAAAACCACGAACCCGGCCGTCTCCAAGGTTGGTGGGTGATACGATTTCCCTCTCCAAGGGATCTCAATTCACGAGCCCGGACCCATCCTGCGGCTGGTGACAACTTCGATTCCTCTCCAATGGAATCTCACTCTTTTCCTCTCTCAAGAAGAAAAGAACACATTGTGGAAAACAAATTTTTTCATATTAATCCATCCTCCTCTTACAATAGCTTAAGGCTCTTATTTATAGGCCATATCATGAGAAAAATAGAAAATTACAAAAATGCCCCTTGGGCAATAACACTCAAATAAACTAACCTAGGGGTAGAACTGGGAATAACATAAAAAATAGCTAAAATTCATAAAATCTAATTTAAATTAAAGCCGTCGATTTACGACGCCTCCTGTGATAGATGCGCCAGATCTTCGTGCCGATGTCCGCATCAATCAACGGTTAAAATATAGAGCTACACCCTATGATGGTGATGTGGTTTACACTTGGCAAAAAAAATATTTGAAAATTTAACTTAGCACATTTATTTTTGTACTTTTATTTCATTTTATAATTTTTCAAAAATTAGAGACATGGACAAGCCTATGATGAACACTTATGGGAATGGTAAAAACAACTCTCAGCAATAATTCAGCTGCTGCCCATGTGGGGCCCAACACCTCTTTTATCACCTATAGGAGAAGAGGCTTTGGGAGGAAACTCATTGGGAAAGGAGTGGGCTCATTGGGAAAGATATAAGGGGCAGTTATTAGGAGGAATTTGAGCTGTTTAAGCGAGGAGATTATGGTGGGTTGGGATTTTTATATTATGTTTTGAATTCTTGCAGCAATTTTTGTGAGGTTTTGGGTTCCTAGTAGTTGCTAGGAATTGTGGGAGAGACGATTCACCTCTCGAACAGTGAATCAACTTATATATTGTCTTGTTTTGCTTGAAAAATTAGTAAAAACAGCTCTCTTTGTGTTATTTCTTGATCTATTTGGAGTATATTGCTATTTTTATATATTGTTGTGTGCTGTTTTGATCAAAGTCCTATCAAATTGGTATCAGAGCAAGATTCGGGACCTATGGCGTCGAAGAAGTGGATGCTTTGGAAGAGAAACTAGAATGAGAAGTTGGTCAATTCAAATCTGAAGTTGAGGAAAGGATTTCATCCATGAAAGGAAGGTTTTCTAATCTAGAGGACATGATGAAGAAAATATTGGATATTCACACCCAACAGGCAACATCAGAAGCGAGGAGACCGGTGGGTGTCCAAGGAAGTGGGGGAAACCCCAATATCGGCGCAATAAGGGATGATCAAGAGGTAGAAATTTTGGGCGATAGAGAAAATATGCCACCTCTTGAACCGATAACCAAGAGGGAAATGGGTGTAGGATATAGCATGAGGAGAAATGGGGAGGAAGAAATAAAGAGGGCTGATTTTGAGGAAGAGGATATCTATGAAAGGAGGAGAGGTGGGAGAGAACAATGGAGAGATCACAACAATCGCTATATGGGAGGAGTTGGAAGAGGAAGTTGGAGTGGAGGGGATCCGAGAGTGAGAAAATTAAAGATACCCGTTTGTTAAGGGGAAGATGCTCATAGGTGGATCTATAGGGTGGACCGGTGGAGAGATACTTTGTAGTGAATGGGCTGACGGAGGAAGAGAGACTAACAACGATGGCTTTATGCTTAGAGGGGAAGGCCTTGTCTTGGTATCAGTGAAGAGACATGAGAGAACTAATTCAATCGTGGAGGGAGTTCAGATATAGCTTATTAGAACATTTTCGAACAAGTCGGAAAGAAGACTTTTATGAAGGGTCAGTGATGGATTATCGGGAGAGGTTTGAGTATCTTTCTAGCCGATTTGGGAGGCTTTCTGAGACAATATTGGAGAGGAATTTCATGAAGGGACTCAAGCCAGAAATCTGGGTTGTTGTCCGGTTATTGAGGCCATGAGGTTTGGTGGAGGCCATGGAGCTAGCCCAGTTGGTGGAGGACAAAAAATCACTTGAGAGAAGTAGCAAAGGCAACAATTTGGAAGCTTCATACCGGACGACGACTACTTTTTTGGCACCAAAGGTACAACCTGTGCCCATTCAGAGAGAAGTATCCAAGGATAGGGGATTAGGAACACAACCAAGAGGAAATTTCAAGCGACTAACTAAGGCAGAAGTTCAAGAGTCCGTTGTGATGAGAAATTTGCACCGGTCCACCACTGCAAGGATCATTCGTTGTAGGTACTTATAGTCTGTGATGAGGATGAGACTCTTGAGGAGGAAGTGGTTGACGAGGAGGAGCATTTGCACCTAGATGTGGTAGAGGTCTTCCTAAATTCAGTGGTGGGGTTTACCTCAAATCACACAATGAATGTGAGGGGAGAGATAAGAGGAGAATCAGTGATAGTTTTGGTGGACAGTGGGGCAACCCACAACTTCATCTTCAACCATGTGGTGGACCCATTGGGGCTGAACCAAGTTGACACTGGTTGTTTTGGGGTGATGATGTGAACAGTGAAGATGGAGAAGAGTAAAGGCATCTGCCTAGGGTTTAAGGTGACACTGCAAGAGATCCATGTGAAGGAGGATTTTCTTCCTTTGGAGTTAGGGAGCACATATGTAATTTTGGGCATAAAATGGTTACAAACATTGGGGGAAACTAAGGTGGACTGGAAAGCATTGACTATGGAATTCATGGTGAGAGGAAGGAAGGTGAGAATCAAAGGGGATCCTAGTCTGTCCAAAACTAATGTTTGTCTCAAGACCATGGTGAGGGCAATCCAGGGAGCAGGTATGGGATTCTTGGTAGAGCTCCAGAGCCTCGAGGGAGGAGAAAGTATGAGGAAAGAGGAAGAGGTTCTAGAGATAGTCCAACCACTCCAACAATTTAGTGAGGTGTTCCAACTGCCTCAAGGCTTACCTACCCACAAGTTCAGAAAGATGAAATTGAGAGACTGATCAACGAGATGTTGGAGGCCCAGATCATTTGTCCCAGTGTTAGTCCGTTCTCCAGTCCGGTGTTATTGGTGAAGAAGAAGGATGGTAGTTGGAGATTTTGTGTGGATTATCGAGCTCTTAATAAGGAAACAGTGCTGGATAAGTTTCTTATATCGATCATTGATGAGTTGTTGAATGAATTATAAGGAGTGGTGATGTTCTCTAAGATTGATCTGAAATCGGGATATCATCAGATTAGAATGTGGCCCGTTGACATCCAAAAGACTGCTTTTAGGACTCATGAAGGCCACTACGAGTTCTTAGCGATGCCTTTTGGGCTTACCAACGCCCCAACTTAGTTGCTTATGAATAAAGTATTTCAACCCTACCTCTGCAAGTTTGTATTGGTTTTCTTCGATGATATTTTAGTGTATAGTTGGTCTAAGATAGAGCATGTGAAACAGTTGAGGGTAGTGTTAGTGGCATTGAAGGAACATCAACTGTATGCCAATTTGAAGAAGTATTCTTTTGCACAACAAATGGTGGAGTATTTGGGACATGTGATATCCAAATCAGGAGTAACTGCAAATCTTTCCAAGATAGAGGCTATGTTGGAGTGGCCCTTATCCAAAACCCTGAAGGAGTAGAGAGAGTTCTTGGGACTCACAGGATACTACAGGAAGTTTGTGAGGGGATATAGTTCTATAGCAACTGAAGAAAGATAGTTTCAAATGGGGGTTTACATCCACCCAGGCATTTGAGCAACTGAAGAAAGCCATGACAAGTGTCCCTGGGTTAGCACTACTAGATTTCAACCAGTCATTTGTAGTTGAGACTGATGTATCAAGTTTTGGGTTAGGAGCAGTTCTTATTCAGAGTCAGAGACCCATAGCTTATTTCAGCAAGGTTTTGACCGCTAGGGCTAGGCTAAAATTAGTGTATGAAAGAGAGCTGATGGTAATAGTGTTGGCAATATAGAAGTGGCGACCTTATATATTGGAAAGGTAATTCATAGTCAGAACCGACCAAAGAAGTTTGAAGTTCCTGTTAGAGCAGAGGATGGTGACAAAGGAGCATTAGCGGTGGGTTTCAAAGTTGTTGGGATATGACTTCGAGATTCAGTATAAGCCCATGATAGAAAATAAAGCAGCATATGCTCTCTCCAGGCGTAGTGAAGACCCTCAGGTTATGGCTCTATCTATTCCTATGGTGGTGGATTGGGAGGCCTTGAAGCATGAGTGCGAGCAGGATGAGGAGTTGAGTAAGATCAAAGGGGACTTGCTACAGGACAAGGATAGCCAGCCTGGTTATTCTTTGATGGGTCAGAAGCTAACATACCAGGGACGGTTTGTGCTTTCGAGGAAATCTCCACACATCCCTCATTTGTTGCAGGAGTTTCATGGTACAACTATTGGGGGGCATTCAAGAGTTCAAAAGACATATCACAGACTGGCAGCAGAGCTATACTAGGTGGGCATGCGGAAGGATGTAGAGGAGTTAGTGGCCAATTGTGATGTATGTCAGAGACACAAATATCTAGCTATGGCTCCAAGTGGACTTCTACAGCCATTAGCATTACCCGAGAAGGTGTGGGTAGAGGTGACTATGGACTTCATTGTGTGACTACCTAGATCAAACGGGTTTACTATGATTCTAGTGGTGGTAGATAGATTGAGCAAATAAGCTCATTTCGTTCCCTTACGTCACCCTTACACCGCGATGTTGGTGGCAGCCGCATTCATAAAAGAGGTGGTTCGTTTGCATAGCATACCCGAGTCCATTGTGCTCGATTGGGATAAGGTCTTTTTAAGCCACTTCTAGAGGGACTTATTCAAGATGTAGGGGACTATCCTGAAAAGGAGTACAGTTTATCACCCCCAGAAGGATGGTCAGACGGAGGTGGTGAATCGCAGTGTGGAAACTTAAATTTGTTGCTTTGTATCAAATATACTAAAGATGTGGGTCAAATGGTTAGCCTGGGTGGAATATTGGTATAACACTTCATATCATATAGCAGCCCGTACAACGTCATTTAAAATTCTATATGGGAGGGATACACCTCATCTGATACATTATGGACAGGGTGACACACAAGTGTCATCAGTGGAGCAATACTTGGGAGAAAGAGATCGAATTTTGGTAGAATTGAAGGAACATCTACAGAGAGCACAACAAATCATGAAGAAACAGACGGATGGATATAGGAGAGATGTGCAGTTTAAGGTTGGGGACATGGTTTATTTGATATTCGGCCTTACAGACAAAGGACTTTGGCTCGACGAAGGAATGAGAAGCTTTCCCCCCACTACTTTGGACCCTATGAGGAAGTGGAGCGCATTGGCTCAGTAGCATATCGCCTACGATTGTCACCAACCTTAGTCATTCATCCTGTATTTCATGTATCGCAACTTAAACAAGCCATTGGAAACCACACACCCTTGCCCGCACTACCTGCCACATTGTCAGAGGATATGGAGGTGATATTAGAGCCATTTGAGGTAAAAGGGGTGTGCCAAGGAGATAAGGGGATCAAGGAGGTAATGATCAAGTGGAATGATTTACCAGAATATGAGGAAACATGGGAGCCCTACAGTACTATGCAGAAGCAATTTTCATTTTTTCACCTTGAGGAAAATGTGACTTTTTTGGAGGGGAGTATTGATACAGCTGACAACAATAATTCAGCTGCCCATGTGGGGCCCAACACCTCTTTTATCACCTATAGGAGAAGAGGCTTTGGGGGAAACTCTTTGGGAAAGGAGGGGACTCTTTGGGAAAGATGTAAGTGGCATTTATTATGAGGGATTTGAGCTATTTAAGGGAGGAGATTATGGTGGGTTGGGATTTTTATGTTATGTTTTGAATTTTTGCAATAGTTTTTGTGAGGTTTTGGATTCTTAGTAGCTGCTAGGAATTGTGGGGGAAACGATTCACCTCTCGAACAGTGAATCAACTTCTATCGTGTCTTGCTTTGCTTGGAAATTAGTAAAAACAACTATCTTTGTGTTATTTCTTGATCTATTTGGAGTAAGTTGTTGTTTTTTATATTGTTGTGTGTTGTTTTAATCATCAAGTCCTATCAGGCATGTCTTCTACATTAATTTGATTCCCTAAGGCTAGGTTGACATGTGGATTGGCATAGACCCAAGCTAGTTTGGTTTGTAGTTAATTCAAGGTTTAAATGTTACACTTCAGCATATCTATATATGGCTCACTATTTTGAACTTGAAAGGGATGTTTTCGAATACATGAAGTTATGCTCTTACAAGAGACTTCGTGATTTTCATATGCAGAATTGACACAGTTTGGCTTCAGCGTATGGTTTTGGATTGCTTTTGCAAGTTACCTTATAGCTATTTGGGGTTTTGGACTGAAAGTAGTAATCACCTATAGATGATTCTACCATTATCCAAGAATAAATTTCTATATACGTATTAATTGAGGGCAAAACGTAAGGATGAGGAAAAGAAAACAAACTTTTTACAATACTTCAAAGCAGTTTCAAGGAGGGATGTAATGTAGTGCATACATTTTAGATACAACAAGTCACGAGTTTCAAATCCTGGTTTCATGATATAAGGCTAAAGAATATTGGAAAAATTGAACTCATTAAAGAGGACCTGTACCAAAATTTCTTTAAGAAAAACTACTAACATATCCAGTATTTCTACACAAAAAGGCAGATGATTTAGATGACCATTAAAGAACCACCGAGAATCAGATCTAAGCTACCATAGGTAAAACAGGCTAAAAGATAAAGTCTCAAGTGTCAATGTGAAGAAAACTTTTCTTATGATATAATCTAATCACATAATGACGGCCAATCAACACATGATCTGCTCAACAACAGAAATTACGTTTAAGAAGAAACATTGATTATAATTGCTGAAATATTTAGCTTTCATGCTTCCCATATAACAAATTCTTTTGGCTCATAACTGAAGAAATGATTCTATCACTGAGTATAGTTTCATGTGAAAAATTAACCTACCTGTTCTTGCAGTAACCGAAGTTATTAGAAAAAGTATTGCCTATGTAAGCAGCAGAACTCATATTCCTTCCCAGCATTAGAGCGTCTTGCTTATTAGTATCAAGCTCCATGATCCCAGATTGAACAGAGCTAGAAGGGGACCCATAAGAAACTCGTTGGTATGTTTCTTTAGAATAAGACATGGAGCAAGCGGTCATGGTACTACTCTTAAAAGTGCAACTGGATCTTGTAGTAACCATACTATCTGTTAAAGATGAATCATCCATGCGGGCATTTGATGTCAAGATTACATTAGCTGCTGGAGGTACTTCCTGCCGCCACTGCTGAAAGCAAAAGTTGCAAACACGAACCCTATCCCCATCTAACTGTTTATCATTTGGGTCAACTGATGGAACAGGGATCGAATTAGAAGTACACTTCCCACAGAAAACACGGCCGCATAGCCGGCAATGGTGCTTTCGAACAAATGCAGTGAATTGTACATCACAGTCATAGCAGACCCTGCAACTATTATCGGGCATCCAAAAGTTCCTGGACACATATGCAGGCTCAGTGCGCCGAGGAAACCAGGATTTTACTAACTCTAACAATCCAGAGAACATGTTCTCTCTGGTTCCCATTGAAGGCAACGCCCCCTGACCCTCTCATTCTGGTGAATTCATTTGCAGACCCAAAAAATTATGATCACTTTTTTCTCTCCTTTAGGGGCTGTTTGGTATCGGATTTATGTTGGGATTTAAGTCGGATTTACGCGAAATCCAGCCAAACGGTTTTTGTGAGTGCGTTAAATCCCCGGATTTCATAAATCCCGAATTTAGGGATTTACGGATTAAATCCAGGATTTACTAAATCCCTCGGTTCGGTGGATTTAAAGGGATTTAGCCGAAGAAGCGCGCGAAAGGTAGAAAGTTACCTTCACAGCTACCAAGCTCCTGTTCTTGCTTCCGATCGAAATGTGGCAACTTCCGATCGGACAGGAGGGAAAGGAAAGTCGTAGAAGGAGCGAAGTCGAATAGCCAGGAAGGAGCCGAAGAAGCGACGCGTGCAATCTATACACCTCCTGCAAAGCAACGAAGCCGAGCAGCAACGACGAAAAAAAAGATCAAAGGCAAACCTAGACGCCTTATGTTATTATTGAATAACTTAATTAATATAATTTAAATTATTAATAATGATGGAAATTAATTAAATAACTAATTGTATAGTTAGTGCATAAATTAATTATCTACTTTAACTTAATTGTATAATTAGTAATTAATATTAATATAATTAGCTTAATTTATATATATATTTATATATATATATTTATTTATTTATTTATTTATTTATTTATTTATTTATTTATGTTGGGATTTAAGTCGGATTTACGCTAAATACAGCCAAACGGTTTTTGTGCGTGCGTTAAATCCCGGGATTTCATAAATCCCGAATTTAGGGATTTACGGCTTAAATCCAGGATTTACTAAATCCCTCGGATCGGTGGATTTAACGTGATTTAGCCGAAGAAGCGCGCTAAAGGGAGAAAGTTTTTTTTTTTTTTTTTGGAAATTTTGGGGCCATGGCCCATAATTTTCATTGATGAATAAAAGATTACATGAAATGAAGAATACAATTAAATGACTACCTTACATAAGCAAAAAACAAAAACTTATGTAGGGTTAATAAAGAAACCTCAAATATACCCACCAATACAATAAAAAGTAATACAAGGAAAAAAACAAAAAAAAAAACGGCTAGCCAAAAACGGTCACAATCAAAAGCTTGACTGATCCAAAAAGAACATGAGTCTGCAGAACGAGAAACCAATCTCCAATCCAGGCTTTGAGCAGAAGAAACATTCCAGCTTGCACGAACCGAAGGAGAAGAGTAGAATTCCTTAAAACATAAAATACAGGAAGAGCAAAACTGCAACAAGGAGCAGAACCAAATGATTACCATAAAGCACCAGATTATAATTAACCAGCTCCAGTAACATTTAACCAGGACTCAGAGAAAAGATAGATGATCGAAAAAAAATTCCTTTTGACAAATTTTGCTTCTCTCTAAATTTAGGTTTAAAAAAGTGCGAGGCGATATTTTGCTCTGCTAGGGTTTCCTTGCTTCCTCGCTGAGTTTCTTCTCCGCCGCCGCCCCTCCGGCTCTGCCGGAGGCTTTCCTGCATGGAGACTTCTCTCTTAGATTCGGATTTTCCTCCTCTTACTACATCTGGTGCAATTGCTCCGGCTTCTCTGCGCAACTGGAATCAAATTTTCGCTCCGGACACCTCCTCTGCTCCTAAAGTCTTCAGCTTTTCTCACCACCCCTCAGAGCCTGATATTATTCCCTTCTCTAATGAGAAGCTTACTAAGGGTGGCGAAGATTGGAATTTGTGTCTTGTAGGATACTCTATCGGGCGAAGACCTTACTATGAAGCTCTGTTAGGAGCGATTAACAAAATGTGGTCTCTTAAAGGTTCTCTCCAGCTACTCTCGCTTAGTGATGATTTCTTTCTTCTGCGCTTTTCCTGTGTTGAAGATTTCGACATGGCATGGTTTAAAGGTGTTTGGTTTCTGCTTGGGAAGCCTTTTGTTCTTCAGAAATGGCATCCTAAGTTCAAGCCAAAGTGTGAAAATTTTTCATCAGTCCCTATCTGGGTTAAAATCCATGATTTGCCTCTGGCTTGTTGGAATTTGGAAGGGATCTCAAGAATCACTAGTAAAATCGGTGTCCCGTTAGCTGCTGATCATCTTACGCAGCAAAAGACCCGGTTGACTTTTGCTTGTGTCTGTGTGCTTGTGGATTGCAATGCAACTTACCCTGACGTGATTAAAGTTTCTCTGGATGGCGATGTGGTAGAGCTGAAGGTGCAATATGAATGGAGGTCGGTACCTTGTGAACTTTGTAAGTCTTTAGTTCACTACTCTGCTTCATGTCCTTCGAATCCTTCCTCTTTAGGAACGGATTCTAGGCCAAATTTTTCAAATTACCGAGGTAGGAGTAGCATTAAAAAACCCGCTATTCGCATTCCTTCAAGACCTCCTTCATCCTCGAGACCCCCACGTTCGGACTCTTTATTGAAAGATAAAGCCACCAATTCTACAGCTGATAATATAATCTCAGCCAATATCCCTCTACACACCAACAGTATTGGCCAACCACTTCATTACCAAGCCCATTCTCCCCATCCTTCGACCAATAAAGTCAATGCACAAGCTGCATTCGAATCTGTAGAGAATCAATCTTTTGCAAAGCCACCCCAATCTGGACCACATAAGGATGATCCTATGGTCAAAGTCTTAGTAGCTAATATACCAAATTTGAATATTCCTACTGAAGAAATTTCTGAATCTTCATCGTCTCTGTTGACCATTACTACTAAACCGATTACGAGCATCATGTCGCCTAACAAATTTGAGATCTTAAACTCTCAAATTGACTCAGAGCCGCAAGATTATATGGCTGAATGTTCTAATGATGTAGGGAATTCTCAGAAACAGACGGGGAAAAGCAAAAAAACAAACTACTTCCGACAACTCCAAAAAATCTGCAAAGGGTAAGCAGAGTAAAAAATCCCATCCTCAAACCAATATTTAAATGTCTCTTCCTTCCATAGGCGTGTGGAATGTAAGAGGTTTTAACCAGCTTGAAAAAGTGTTAAGCTGTAAAAGGCTTATTAGTTCTTTCAAGCTAGATTTGTTTTGTCTGCTGGAGACCCGCATTCATGCTCCTTCTCTTCTTGAACCCTTTTTTGACTCTTCCCACTTATTGTTTTCGAATGAAGCTAGTATTCACAACTTTAATCTTTCTTCCTCTAGGAGGATTTGGATTAAATGGGATGCCAATAAGTTAAATTTTGCACCAACTCTCATCACCCCGCAACTGATCAATGGGACGGTTACTATTGGAAATCTCCTTCCATTTCAGATTTCTATAGTATATGCCTCTAATAATGCTTCTGACAGAAAGGATCTTTGGTCTACTTTAAACATGGTTGCTCCTTCTCCTGCTATGCCGTGGGCAATTTTGGGGGATTTTAATTGCTGTAGGTTTGCTAATGAAAAATCTGGCGGCTCTGCTATTCATCATTCCAATCTGGTTGATATTAATAACATGATCTTTGCCAACAATTTGGTTGACTTGCATTCAGTGGGTAACTTCTATACTTGGTATAATCAACAAACTGCAAATCCTATCTTCATAAAATTAGACCGTGTTCTTGTTAATGAGGAGTGGGTAGAGAAGTTTCCTAATGCTTACTGCTCTTTTCTGAACCCGTCCTGTTCGGATCATTCCCCCATTATCTTGCATTCTGGGAACACCTCAAAGTCTCATCATCGATTTTTGTTTAAGAATTACTGGACTAACTATGATATATATTGGGTTTCTCTCTTAAATGCTTTCTCTTTGCCTTTAGTTGGTAACCCTCTATCTCATCTCTGTAATGTTCTTAAAAAACTAAAAGGTGATATTAAGAATCAAGATTGGGCAAATGCTAACTCTCTTAATCTTCAGTTAGACTATCTTCATGCTAAGCAACAGGACATTTTAGATCTACTTATGGTTAATCCTTTGGACGGAGCATTAGGCGTTTCCCTCAAAGACATCAACTCAAAAATTTCTGATGTCTCGCCCAAACATGCTAGTTGGATTATTCAAAGAGCAAAACTAAATTGGTTGTAACATGGTGAAGATGACCTCAAATTTCTTTATGGTAAAATCAGGAGCCGTTTTGGTAGCTCTAAATCTTTGGTGAATTTATTTTCTTCAAATCCGAGTATTGCTAAGGAAGATGTGATTAAATCCATCACGAATCACTTTCAGGATTTGTTTAATCCTACTCCTCCTTCTGGTAGGAATTTGGATTCTTTTCCTATTGGTGCTCCCATGCCTGAATTTTATTCTAATATGCTTGTTTCTCCGATTTTGGATGATGAGATCAAAGCTGCAATTTTTAAAGGCTCTTCCAATTCTTCACCCGGACCAGATGGTTTCAATTATCATTTTTATAAAACGGCATGGCACATTATTGGTCCTCTTGAATGCAAAGCTATTAGATTTTTCTTTCTTAAAGGTTATCTCCCAAGTGGAATTAAAGCTACTGCTCTTGCAATCATACCTAAACATCGTAATGCTGCATCTATTTCAGATTATAGGCCCATCTCTCTTTGCAACACCCTTTATAAAATTATAACCAAGATTATTGCTGGTAGAATGAATCCGATTATGCCCCTTATTGTCAAAGATACTCAAGCTGGCTTTGTGAAGGCTAGAATTTCGACTGATAGTATTCTTCTAGCCAATGATATTCTCTCTTTGGTCAATAAGGGAGGGGTTGGTAACATTTTTTGTGCTAAATTAGATATCAAAAATGCCTTTGATACTGTATCCAGAGAATTCCTACTTGCTCGTATGCTTCAAAAAGGATTTCCTAAGCCTTTTATTAGCTGGATTAAGGCTTGTATTACAAATGTTAACTTCTCTGTTATCATTGATGGTGCTTTGGAAGGATTCTTTTCCTCTTCTGCTGGTCTTAGGCAAGAATGCCCCCTTAGCCCTTACCTTTTTTGTATAGTTATGGATGCTTTGTCCAATCTTCTTGATGAAAGAGGTTTTAAAGGTTTCAAAACTGATAACTATCATCTATCACATCTTTTGTATGCGGATGATGTGTTAATTTTGGGTGATGCCACAATTGACAATTATAAAATCCTCTCTTCTATTCTTAAGGATTTTGCAAATGCAACCGGAATGCATATAAATTATGATAAATGTTTTATTATGTTCTTTAAGAATCAAAGAAACCAAGATATGCTTTGTCAAGCACTCTATATTACAAATGTCAGTTCAAAGTTAACCTATCTTGGCATTCCCATTTCTTTTACTAGATTAAAAGTTGAGGATTTTTTGCCTCTGATGGATAAACTGCACAAGAAATTTATGGGGTGGAAGGCGAATCTATTATCTTTTGCTGGTAAATTACAGTATTTAAAATTCACTATTCAGAACACCATAGCCTATTGGATTAGAGGCTCTATCATACCTAAGACAGTTTTTAAGTTTTTTAGGAAAACTTGCTCCAAATTTCTGTTTTTTGGAGACATTACCAGCCTAAATAAGCTACACTTGGTT